AAGTAAAACAAACAGATGTACCCCTTGTTTGGGAAAACTTTGTCAACTTTTTTTTTTTTAAAAAATTATTGGTCCAGTGTAATCTACACCTGCACCTAAAGGAGTGATATGACAAAAACCTTTCGAGGGTATGGAGGTGGCCCTGGATACTGACTAGCATATCGTAGTGACGAAAGAATACAGTCCTTTATTTGTTTTTTACACTTTGTCGCCCTTGAGGTATCCAGTGGGTTTGCGATATGACAAAGGGTCAGCTACCCACCAGTAACACTTTTCTGTGGGGTTTTGCACATCGTTTTGTTAGCCAATGATTTTGGGGATCAATTTTGGTGTATGGCTTTTTTAGGTATTTGAAGAATTATAAAATTCTTCCTCGACATCTTATAATCTTTTGAGCGAGAATAAGTCCTAAAGAATTAATCAAAAACAGGTTTCTTTGGGGATTTATCTTGTTGTTTCTAGAATTTATATTTCTGTAGAGAAAACATCTTTCTGTATTAGTTTCACCCAGTATTTAATGGGTTCAAGACATTCATAATCGGGGTTTTATTCCTTTAATGAATTTAAAGACAAGAGCCGTAACTCTTAAGAGTTTACCCAAAGATGAGTATTTAGATCCATCAATGACTTTTTCTGTTGTGTCTGCAGTTTTTTACACAACTTATTTCTGCTGTGTTCAAGCAGACTGTTTCTTTGGCATAATGAAATCTTTTTGCTGAGGCAGTTTTTCCATTTAGAAAAGCCAGTTCGGTCCGTGGAGCCTTAATTTTTATTCACAAATTTCTTGAGTGGGACACACGTGACAACATGTCAGTGGTTCTCTTGGGTAGAGACGTGGAGAGAAAAGAGAAATCTTCTGGCATCTCTTTTATTTCTGCTACTTTTTTTCTGTACATAGACCAGCTTACTTTATTATTTCTTAACCACTGGAGAACTGCTTCATTATCACTCCAGATCACGGTTTTCTCAATAGTGAGATGATCAAGTACTTTGTTGAGATAGACAAGCTAATTTTGTACCTACATAGAGTGCTGTCAGTTCCAATTGTGGTACTGTTTGACCTTAAAGGGTGCTCCCCGGGCCTTTGAAGTAATTAGTTTTACTTCCTTCAGCATTACTCATGTAAGCTACAGCGCCATAACCTTTGGTTGACGCATCACAGAAACACATGTAATGTTTTAATTTGTTTCCCTCTTGACCTATTTGTCTGGGAAATTTAATTTGATGAAGTTGTTTAAACTTTTTGGATATTTCATCCATGCTTGACTCATTTCTAGAGGCAAGTTCTCTCCCATCCAATTTTGAGTTTCCATGCATCTTGCATAAGCATTTTACCCTTTATGGTAATTGGTGGGGACGAGTCCTAGAAGATCAAAACATTGTGATACCTTGACAGTAAACTACGTTTAGTGGTGGACTGCATGATTTTATTATTTATCCTTTTGAGACTCAAGTATCTTCCTGTGTGTTCCAATTAAGTCCAGCATATTGTTGAAAATCAGGAATTTCAGTTTCAGGGAAATCTTCTTTGATAAGTTCCCTTAATTGGTTTGAATTTGTATTCCACATTCTTAGAGGCTTTATTTGCTTTTTCATCTCCTTGTTAGCTTCTCTGTATAAGGATTTCAAATCATCCTCTTTATTCACGTACCTTGAAGATTGTCCCACATAGAAACT